GTTCCAGCGAATCTAGTTGATTTTTTATTTAATTTTTTTTTTTTTTTTTTTTTTTGCTATTGTGAATTTTTTCTTCATATATATTTTTACAATCGTAATAACACACCGGTGTTCCCCGGTATCGAAACTCGGCTGCATACTCGACGTTTCTTACACAAATAGTCGTTTACCTTGCAACTCAAATGCACTATATTTTGTTTTCATCAATAAATCATGATTGCGCGGCCAATGAAAAAGAAGAATGACGAAAGAAGAGATATGAAATAAAAATCCTCGGTGAAAGGTTGAACAACGGGGGGACTCGGGGGAACGCTCCCGATCGATGTCTGCTTGATTGAAGCCTGTACAAAAAAGAAATTCATCTCTCGATCCAAGGAGAAGGTCTTGGAAGATCGAAAGGTCATCTCGCGGGAAACGTCTCAAGACTCTCTTTAGTTCCTAGCATCGAGTTACGTATCGGATACGCTATCCTACATAGTTTGCAGATCACAAGTGATATCATGACCATTTTTGTTTGTTGCACGATAAAGGGTATGATATACGCGAAACATTTTCTTATATATAAACGTGAAAGAATATCCAGTCATAATTATTACTTTTGTATGTAGTTTTTGTTATTTTTATTTACTTTTTAAATTATTCTCGAAGGGATAAAAAAATTCGCTGATATCAGGAACATATTTTATGATGTAAACGAATTAATGTATATTCCAAGGAAATTTGATTTCTTTCTCGATTTCAGGAATATAATTTTCAAAAGATGTGAATAGTCGTGTTGACGTAGAGAATATACGCCTATAAATGAGAGATAAATCACACTGTTCTATAGAATCGTGATAATACGAGCTCGCGATATCTAGCGTCATGGTAATTCTCAGTGCACACGCAAGGTGCTTTAATTAAAATTCCATTTGCTTGTTCAGCTTGATAGGAATTTTTCACTGGCCCAAGTGTTCCTAGATTATACGGCAATTCCGGGCGCTCTTCTGTCATTGTTGAACGTATAATTCCGAACATATCCACATAAGTTCATTTCAGCACTGAGTGAATAATGTCTACAAAAAGATTATTCACATTTAATCGTGCTACAATGATACTATAATACTGTGTGAGTAAAGTTTCGTAGAGTAACGAGATTAAATCGATCATAGATTTGCTTCTCATAAACGATTATCATGGCAATGTTATTCTGATAATAATTAATTATACACTTGTTAAGATGATGTATGTGTGTATGAAAAGATTAAAATATTAATATTATCCATTATGCATTACTCACTTAATTAAAAATAATAATTAGATTCATAATTATATATATACCATTGATTTTTCACGTTTATTCTTTTTAGTTGGTGCACGAAAGTTTATTTTTTTTTTTTTTTTTTATTAATTAAAAAAAATATTTTTTTGGTATTTTGATGAGGGAATCAAGGTATTATTTTCTGGACATGAAAAATATATTCAAGCAAATGGTAACTTGATTAATAGAAATAACTTGATGAAACAATTTGATATCGCTATGAGAATCACTGCGACTTTCCGCCAATACGCTGATGTGTCATAGGTAAATACATGCATACCTGTAATTTGTTATCAGCGTCAACACGCAACTCGCTCACAGTCGAGTCTTTGCTCGCGTGCGAGAGAAAGAGTCCGCGAACATTCCGTTTCTCTGCTCTCTTGTTTGGCTCGGCCAGTTCTCGTCCATTCTCTCTCCTCATTATTCCCTATCTTCATCTCGCTCTTTCTCACATTCTTAGTCTTCTCCCTCTCCCCATCGTTTCTCTCTTTCTCTCGTACTCTACGTACATTATACGAACAACTCGTCGTCAGTCAGTACAGAGACATCGTTGCCAGCGCTCTTTCCCTCTTCTTCCCTTTTTCCCTTTTTCTTTCGTCGTTTCGTTTTCTCCCCTCCCTCCTTGTTTTCGTTTAGTTTTTCTTCTCTCATTAACAGTATCGCGTTATCATATCCTCCAGGACCAGCGCCTATTTCAGAGTTTTTATTTAAACATTCTTATCCGCGCGCATGTCTCCGCTCTGCTCCGAAATCCTTCTTTATCCTTTTTGCGCAAAGAAGAAAAAAATGCCGCGAAAAATCGTGCGTCGTTCGTTATCGTGTGACAGTGACAGTGTGCTCGTGTCTGAGGTGTGACAACGATAAGAGCCCCCTTCCACGGTTATGATAAAGAGTTAATCCGTCGCGCAGGGATACGAAGATTGACGAAACAGAATTTTCGCGACTTTTTCCGGAATTTTCGTGTATTCGGTAGTAACGGGTTCATAAATGCATGTATGCACGCTTCTTTCAGCAAGAATTGCACTCGCTGCAAAAACTGCAGCCCGTTTGTTCTGTTCTTTCGTGTCGCAAAGTTACACAGAGTCTGCGCTTCATCTTTTATTCCCGTTTTCCGTTACGCATTTCGCGTTACATCGGCGACTTATATGATTTTCAAATAAATCCCAAAAAGTGCGCGCAAATATCGTTATCATTGACAAAGTTCTTTCGCCGCGACGCTTTTCACGGTATATGCATTTCTATGCATACATGAGCAGCTACTGCGAACAATAGACGTCGAGTGTCGCAAACGGATAAAGTGTAAGTTTGTATTTTATTTGCTTGTAAATCACACACATCTGCTTATGCGAATCGTGTGAATTCTTATCTCGCTCCTGCTTTGCGCATTCGTGCCAAATAATATCGATGCGATATCATCGATCTTTGCGTAGCCGCGCGATACGAGAACGATATTCCAATCATATTACGAGGATTATCGCGTACATACTTGTCGAGCAATTACCGCATGCAGAATAGCATCGATGTGACAGCATCATTGACGATGACGATTAAATTTAGGAATGATCAACGCAATCACAGATTAATACCATGCACGACGATACCGTGCACGATCGTCGAATATCGTCATTATCGTATTAGCAAAGATCGAGCGGTGTTTGTTAATCCGTTAAACGTTTGCGCTGACAACTTTACATCCATCCTGCGCTATCGATACCATGTATAAGATACACATGTATCTAATCTTAATTGTCTGTGATTGTTTCTATTGTCTGAGTCATTGAATATGACGCGAAATAATATTTGCTACAACATGAATAACTTACTTTTAGATCCGATTAACAGTTATAATGCGCAATCATTTTGTCAAAACGTTATTATAAAGCTTCTCTCTTTTATAATGATTAAAGTATTATATTTAACATTAATGTATTTATCAATCTGAAATATTTATACATTTTTTAATTTAAATTTAGATTACTTTAAAGATGTATGAAAATTGTACATGAAAATCTTAATAATTTCTCGGCACTATATTTTTGGAGCAGCAACACAAGATATATTTTGATAATGGTAAAATAAAAATTCCGCGTCAATTAATTTGACCTATTTTTTTTTCTCGATATTAGCTTGATTGAATTATTGATTGAAATTATTGCAAAAATTAATTTAATCAATCTCACAATCAGAGTAATTGCTTATTCCAGATATATTACTACCGATTACATAATATTTTTAATGTCGCGTTCCATAACTTATAGAATATCATTCATATTCATAAACTAATACACGATGTAGGCTGAACTTATCGTCGCGGAAACTTCGAGGTTGTCTGTCTGCTTGTTCAAAGAAACCGACGTGCCCTCGATGGTTATCTTCAAGCAAGCGCTCTTTACGTTAGCATGCAAGCATATTGCACTTGCGCTCAGTCCGCCGACTCGTTAGGTATATTATCTATATGCGAATCGAGACGTACTACACATCATTAAAAAAGAAAAAAAGAATATATAAAATTCCCGCAAAGTTTAGTGTGCCGGCGATTTATTAGATGCTGCATAGAAAAGAGTTGTTGATGTCGAGACGCGGAAATTTAATGCAAGGGAAAGTAGCAAACCGGTTTGGTATATCTTTCCAGTTTACGCAAATTTAAATGTTAATTTTTAATCTTTTGTTTCTGCCGTCTTTGTTTTGTAACTTTTGTGCAGAGTAGTTTTTGAAATCTCGAATATCACAGATATATCGGAAAATTTTCCTATCACATCCATTTGCGTTTATATGAAGAGGATATCGTTAAATTGTTAAAATCACTTTATTCTCGACGTAGATTACCTTATAAACGATGGAGATGACTCTCGGATGTAAGTATCTTGAATTTTGCATTACGCGAATCACCAACGGTCGGCAAACTCCAAAGGCCACTTTAGAATTGTTGTCTCGCGATGCTATCCAATGACGATAATGAGATAACGAGTATCGCGATAATTGGCGAGATACGTGTCTGTCAATTACCAGCCTTGTTCTTCGGTTCCGTTTATTTCTGCTTCGATCGTGCGGTCGATACCGTCATGTATCTCGTCGGCTTGCTGTTCAAGTTCTCCGTTGATGATCATGAGACGTAGATAAAGGACGATGACGTTTCCGCATTATTACCGCGTTATTCTCGCATAAACTACTCGCCATCGTTATCTGCTAATTTACCGTTTTCAGTTTTTTTCCATGGCATAGTCATTATACTAAAAATGATGCCGGCAGACATAAATTAATCCCCAAAGAGGCAATATATGTAATTGCAGAGAGAGATTCTCTTTAAACATTTCTATTTATTATATTTTATGTTTATTATATTGCATTTTATTAATCACCTAATAATATAGCCGTTTATGTAAATATGAACTAATAAATTTGGACTTATAATAATTTGGAAATTGTAAATTTATAAAAATATATCGACATATATATCAAGCGAAGATTTAATTTAAAAAAAAAAATATATATATATATATATCCTATATATAGTATATGGCGTGTGTATTGTATTATATTATATCATATTATTATCAAAAGAATAAAATATTGTTTATCTATGTTTATTATCATACATAAACTCAAATATTGCATAGTATATTACTATTTCATCGAGCGAGATGTAATATATCCGGATCGGGTAAGAACTTGATCGGGTGAGCATAATTGCATCACGATCGTGTAAACGCGATACGGGAATTATTTACGTAATTGGCAGCGATAGCAAGCAGATATTTCGCGAAATGACTATACCGTAAATTAACACCGATGTATTGGTTTCACTTGTGAATATTGCGTTTCTTCTACATGCTGTTGCTTGCTTCGCCGTTCGCGCGGCACGTTGTAACTCGTAGCTACTAGTAACGCATAATGCGAATTCTCTGGCCGGTCGATTGCAAACATATTCCGGGAAACGGTGGTGCAACGCGCCGGTGTGGTTAACAATGTCAAGTCTCATTTGCGTGCAGTCTCGGATCGGAACGTGCCGGTAACCAACACACTCAATCGGAGTGTCACGCGTTGCATCGGAATCAGGTGCGTCCGAAGACGTGTGCTGCGATGAACGTTAATTAATTGATTTTTTTTTTCGACTAACTCTTTCGCAGATGTCTATCTTTTTTTTCTTTTTAAAGTGTCATCTTTTATCTTAAGTATAACAAAATGTAAGATACAAATGTAAAAAGAGGCGAATTATGCATACGCCGAACAAGCATACCACACGTATCATTTTATTAATTCATTAATTGGCCAGTGAGTTAAAGTGAATTAATACACGCGATGCGGCAGGCATGAGACCGATATGACCGATATGAGAAAATAATCGCATGCCAACCTTTTTGCCGTCTTATGCAATATTAAACGTATTGATATCAAATTAAAAGCAAGTGTCTCCTTATTTTATCTGATAAACGGAAATGTAACGAATCCAATGTGACAAAAAGTAGTTCATTTGGCATATTGCCATAGTTTCTGGGTTAATGTGCCATTAGATGAATATTACATGAATAAAAGATTACAATATAATCGGTTATTAATTATTATAATCGCCAAATTATTCATTATTTGTATATTTCTCTTTCCTTTCAATCTCCTCTTTTATACTTTCATTATATATTTACAATATTAATAATATTTTATAGTTAAATATTTTCAATATGTTTGTATATAGTAAAAGTAATTTAATATAGTTTCTTAGCGAGTGAAATGGACATTTTTATTACTAATTTGTACACCTTTCTTAATATATAATTTTACTTTTGCTTTCTGCTTCTATCACTCTATCTTTGTCGTTACTTTTCATATATAAAATTCATCTTTTTTTTATTATTTTAAGATTTCATTTCTTATTTCTTATTTTCTTACTTTAGTAGGATTATATTTGTAAATTAGGAATTTTTCACTTTGATATATATTCTTCAACTAAGAAATTTCTTTGAGTAGGGCTTGCCTTGCGACGCAAAGCGTATTCCTATTTCTCTCCTTTCCACTTTCGACTTGTATATCCTTGACGCTTACGTCACTTCGAGAGGAAATACGGTCGGAAGCGAGCATAACGGTATCACGGGAAAAAGGGATTCGAAGCCGTACGGCGGTATTCTCGTTTTAGACGCTTTGTAAGTTCCTTGAACGAATTCGTTACGGTCGTTGCACTTTGCGACGCCATGCGGCTCCTTGAGAGAGAGAGAAAGAGAGAGACATTGATTGTACGCGAATAACGGCTACGAACCGAAGAGATTTTCCGCTTCGATATTTAGAATATATATACACGTGTTTAGACTACTCCGAGGTTTGTTGGCGCACTCTTGCACGACCCAGGAACATTAACTCCGCTCGTGTTGGCACGTGCTCGCAAACATGTGCGGCTGATGCGCACATGGCCGTGTACGTATATCACGTACTTGACCGGGTTAAATACCGACGCGGCGATGAACTTATGAGACAATTTCAAGCGACTATATAAAGAACATTCGACATTGTGATACAATAAGCAAGGAGACGATTCTTCGTAAAAGATATTGGTCGAAAATGTAGATAATGGTCTTTTTTTAAATAATTTCTTAAAATTTAACTTTATTATTATTTCAAAAACTTTACTTCTCTCGGATATGTCGACGATAAAATTTTTTCAGGCGTCCTTAAAAGAAGAACGGTGCACAGCAAACCAGCATGGAGTCAATGGAAAAAGTCTTCGATAGCAATATCTCGGAAACAGATGCGCGACATAATCAGAATCTGCTTAAAGCAGACGGGAAAGGAGCGAATGCGGGAAACGTGCAAGTTTTCTCGGTTGATAAAGTTACCGTTGAAAAGATTGTCCTTGAGTCTTCGAACGGTTCGCGAGAAGTACTGCTGACGAAGAACGAGTCTTCGAGGAAATTCTCTCTGAGTTCTGAGACAAAGTCGAATGTTATCGAACGAGCGAAAGACGACCGACAGAAATCGACGAGTAACGACGTATTCCCGATACCGGAAGATGCGTTCACGTATTCAAAACCAAAAGACGCTAATTTTAAGACCATCATTCTTGATAGACAATCAAAACTTCCTATTCCGAAGAGTCGAAAGAGTGACGGTGTTAGTTTTCCAAACGAAGAAAGCAGGATCAAACCGATTAAATTCACTAAAAACCCATCTATCGGTAGCATTGTGATTGACGGTTTAAATTCGACAAATATAATCGCCAAGAGGAATAAAGTGCCGCCAAAAGTCCCGAAGAAAACTGCGATCAAGAAAGAAAATAATTCATCTTTGATAGTGACTTCAGTCTCTTCTACGAAGAAATTTTCGGAAGATTTATTCACGAATCGGGAAAAAGTTGTTGACAAAATACTGACTACGATTAAACAAGAACAATCGGGTGAACATAAACTTTTCGAGACTGAAGACGTTAAAAATGATAATGATATAAATTGCGTTGAATTTGAGAAATATAATGAGATATCTAAAATTGCGAACGTACAGTGCAATAAATTAAAAGACAAGATCGAAAAGCAGGACGGCTCAATAAGCATCAAAAACCAGGAAAAAAGCGCGAAAAGTGACAGTGACGCGCAGAGTTATCTGGAAAAAAGTCAGACGATTATCGAAGATCTTCAAAAAAATCTAAGCACCAGGATTCACGCTAGTACCGCGCAAAGTTATAAAGAAAAGCTGGTGGGTTTTCAGGCAAATTATACTCCGGGATCGTCGGTTACCGCAGAGTCAAGTGGCAGCGAGAGATTAAGTTCCGGATTCGACAAGGATTTTCTCGAGAAGCATAATCTGGATAAGCGATTGAACATCGAGGAGAAGAGACTGTTGGAAACCGATCTCGATTACACGTCCGACAACGATAGAACTAGCGAAATTGAAGATCAACCGCCGCGCAAAATCGACATCAGACGAAAATATAGCGACAAAGTAACGGAGGTAGAGAAGAGATGGTCCGGAGAATTTTTAGAGAACCGTTTGCAACGTAACTCCTCGGAATCTTCGAAATCATCTTACATTGAAGAGTTTGATAGCGTGTCCTCACGCGAGAGCATCGTCGAGGATCGCGACGGCCGGTTATTTTTTGGCCAAAAGCATCCGGAAAAGTTGACGGAGAGGCAAACGTCGATCGATGAATCGAAGATACGAACTTTAGAGGAAATTCTTGAGAACAGTACTGTGAGCACTGTCGACTCTGACTCGTGCTTGGAGGATAGAATCAAGGCTGTCGATGAGGACATTGCTCACGTGACGAATGATAATGACGATATCGATGGATTTGATCAAGCTTACGGTAACGAAGAAGTGAAAGATTGCATTCAATGGAATGAAGAAGTAAATACAATTCTCACGACAACGGCGGTAAACTGTGAAAAGAAAAATCAAAATTTGAAAGAAGAGAAAAACATTAATGACACAACAGGCGTCAATAATTATAACGATACAAATTCGAATCGAGTGAAAAATAATTATGAAAAGAATATTAATGTGGTAAAAAAAGAGAAACATTTAATTGAACAAAAAAACGATAAGACATTTTTTCATTCCTTTACGGTGATTAATTCAAAGGAGTCTACCGATTCGACCTTCGTGCTCCGAGATCATCGCAATAAAGACGGTTACGCTAATCTTATAAAAGAATTCGCTATGGAGCCGGGATCATCCAAGATGATGAAGAAAGAGGAGAAGCAAAAGAAGAAGCTCGGTTTTCGACGTCTTTTACCGGCCATTTTTTCGCCGAAACATTCTCGAAAGGATTATAAGAAAAAGGAGCAGAAGGAACGAAAAAGATACGACGAGCGGCATTTCGCTCGTTATCAGCAAAATGGAAATTACACGAGATCACCGGACACGATGAATCTAAATGAAGATATCAAGAAAAACGTCAAACTGGATAACAGCTTGAACGGTTCCATCATCGATGAGAGGTTGGACGAGATCAAGCGCGAATTGTTTCCCGAACAGGGGCCGATCACCAGTACACCCGATCACTTTCTGCAAACGGACGATACGCGACTTCTTTGCGACAGAACAAAAAATCAGAGATCGTATACTGCCGATTCAAGTCTCAGCTCAATCGCGCCGGACGAGAGATGGATAGAGCGTGGCGGACAATTTGTTATCTCGCCTGACATTAGAAAATATGAGCAGAGGCAGAAACGCGAAGAACACGACGGTCGACGATACAACTACCTGGAACGCAAGCACAGTTTACAGGAATCGAATCATGGCAGTCGTAATTATGTCTTCCAAAGAAATCACGGACCTTCCGGTAGAATTTCGGCGCCGCTCAATGAACGATATTTACGACCTCGAGCTGTTTTTCTTGTCGATAGACCGCTGCCTGAAATACCACAGTCACGATTAGAACTGTCAAACTACGAAAATTATCAGGATGGCATCGGTCAACTATGCGACGATCTCAGTAGCGTGGATGTTGTTGATAACAAAAATTACCAGAATCAATCCGAACTTTATCAGAATGATAGCAATCTTGAGGCGGGTTTACTCAACACCCCGCAATCGGTTCCCGCGCAAGTTAAGATTACTCGACAATCAATCGTAAATCAGACTCAGAAAGCGCCTTTGATTGGAAGAACTTCCAAGTATCCATCGTCTGGTTCCAGCCAAAAGTCCGGCGATTACGCCGATTCGAGTTGCACGCCTAATTCGAGTCAAAAGAGCGAGTTTTCGCCTTCTAGCTCGAAGAGCGGTGAGTATTATTTGAACTCGCCTCGCAGCAGCGCCCGAACTTCTCCTACCGAACGATCAACCTTCGAAGACGGGCGAGAAAGAATTTACGAGAACGAAGCTCAACCGGTAATTTCCCAGTCATCCATTAATTACGCTGAAGAACACGTTTACGACGAAACTCCATCACCGTGTCGTGAGAAACATTTTTCAAGCACGAAAGCATCAGATCATATGGGAGAGAATTCGCCGGAGAAGAAAGACAATCTAATTTACGAAGAAAAATGTTCATCGAATCGACAATCGCCCTTAAAGAATTGCTCTTTCCAACATTCTTTCGAAGATGATGAAAATATGCAAGCGGAATCAAAACGAGAGATCGAAAAATCACGTGAGAATTGCTTAAAAAGTCACGAGACACAATTTGATACACATTCGAAGAACGATTCAACAGCGGTCAGCCAAACTGAAAGAACATCCATTCAGAACGTATCGCCGTCGAAACATGGAATGACAATAGTGACGTCTCCGTCGGCGGGATCTCGAGCCAGGAGATCACAACCAAACGATCAAATCTTGATAGCCTCGCCCAAGAGAGAAACCATCTGTCAGTCTCGAGTTTCTCGGCCATCGAACGAGACGAGGCTTTGCGACGCGGAATCGCCCATTCCCATAGCGGATTCGCGCGAGGGTATCTCTGGCATCGTTCCAATTGAAGTGCGACATCAGTACGGTAGCCAGAATTCTTCCGCCACAGGAATGAGGAGATCTATTGAGCAAAAAACTATATCGTCTTTTGGCTTCTCGAAAAGCATTTCACGTCCCGAGCCGATTTATGGACACCGCAGACAACAGACTTTTCATAAGAGCGACACAACGACCTTGGAGACGAAGGAAGATAAACGCGAGAACGATCAGCTGCCACCAGATCCGTACAGCTCGACCGAATCATGCCGCGACGTCGACGAGAGAATAGCTCGATTTCAAGGTCAGAATTTGGAATCGCAAAATTTACAGTCGTGTTTCTCGGAAGCTAAGCAAATATCCGATGAATCTGGAAGAAGAGCGG